CCTGAGACATCCCCACAAAATGGCCGCGAACGAGCCCGTGCAACCACCCCTGGCGGCTCCCCTTAGGGGTGCTGAAATGAGCGCCTCGCTCGAGACATCCTCCAAATCTGCTCCGAAAGCGAAGGATGTTGGGCACAGAAACAAGCAAACCGCCTGAGACATCCCCACAAAATGGCCGCGAACGAGCCCGTGCAACCACCCCTGGCGGCTCCCCTTAGGGGTGCTGAAATGAGAGCCTCGCTCGAGACATCCTCCAAATCTGCTCCGAAAGCGAAGGATGTTGGCAAGACAAACAAGCAAACCGCCTGAGACATCCCCACAAAACGGCCGCGAACGGGACCGTGCAACACCCCTCGGCGGCTCCCCTTAGGGCTGCTGAAATGAGCGCCTCGCTCGAGACATCCTCCAAATCTGCTCTCCAAGCGAAGGATGTTGGCAAGACAAACAGGCAAACCGCCTGAGACATCCCCACAAAACGGCCGCGAACGGGACCGTGCAACACCCCTCGGCGGCTCCCCTTAGGGCTGCTGAAATGAGCGCCTCGCTCGAGACATCCTCCAAATCTGCTCTCCAAATGTTGGCAAGACATCCTCCAAATCTGGCGAAATGAGACATCCCCACAAAACGGCCGCGAACGGGACCGTGCAACACCCCTCGGCGGCTCCCCTTAGGGCTGCTGAAATGAGCGCCTCGCTCGAGACATCCTCCAAATCTGCTCTCCAAGCGAAGGATGTTGGCAAGACAAACAGGCAAACCGCCTGAGACATCCCCACAAAACGGCCGCGAACGGGACCGTGCAACACCCCTCGGCGGCTCCCCTTAGGGCTGCTGAAATGAGCGCCTCGCTCGAGACATCCTCCAAATCTGCTCTCCAAGCGAAGGATGTTGGCAAGACAAACAGGCAAACCGCCTGAGACATCCCCACAAAACGGCCGCGAACGGGACCGTGCAACACCCCTCGGCGGCTCCCCTTAGGGGTGCTGAAACCAGCGCCCCGCCTGAGACATCCTCGCAATCTGCTGTTTATCGAATAAGTCAGACAATGAGAAGGTCTGAGTATGAGTAATTCTGAGTATGAGTAAGTCTGTGTATGAGGAACTCTAAGTAAAAGGAGGAGGAGAAGGAGGAAGTCTGAGTATGAGTAAGTCTGAGTATGAGTAGGTCTGGGTATGAGTAGGTCTGAGTATGAGTAAGTTAATGTGATCAGGTCTGAGTATGAGTGAGTCTGTGTATGAGTAAGTCTGTGTATGAGTAAGTCTGTGTATGAGTGAATCTGAGTATGAGTGAGTCTAAGTAGGAGGAGACGAGAAGAGGGGAGAAGGAGAATGAGGAGTAGGAGGCGTCCAAGTAATAACAAGAACCCCATCTTAGGATATGGGGAAAAACAGGAGGCCCACGGAACGAGATTTAAGTCGGGCCTGTCCCTCTACAGGAGGCAAATTCAAAAATAGTCGAAACATTGTTCGGGGACCATTTGTTGAGCATGTTTTGAATCTGTGTTTGATTGTTCGTCCCTCCTCCTCCTCCTCCTCCTCCTCCTCCTCCTCCTCCTCCTCCTCCTCCTCCTCCTCCTCCTCCTCCTCCTCCCCCCCTGTATGAGGGATATGCCCGACCTCAAACTGGATCCAGGGACCCGAGGAGCGAGGCCGGGAAGCTCGAGAAAGGGAGGCAAGGAACCGGGCCGGGTATCCGAGGAGAAGGGCCCAGGGATTCCGCAGTGGGGGGGGTGCCCCCCCCCCCCAAATGCGCCTCCTGCTCCGCCTCCCCCTCCTCCGCCTCCTCTGCTCTCCTCCTCCTCCTCTCCGCCTCCTCCTCCTCTCCTCCTCCTCCTCCTCCTCCTCCTCCTCCTCCTCCTCCTACCTCCTCCTCCTCCTCCTCCTCCCTCCTCCTCCTCCTCCCTTTCCTCCTCCTCCTCCTCCTCCTCCTCCTCCTCCTCCTCCTCCTCCTCCTCCTCCGCCTCCTCCTCCTCCTCCTCCTCCTCCTCCTCCTCCTCCTGCTCCCCACCCTTCTCCTCCTTTTCCTCCTCCTCTTTCTCCCCCTCCTCCGCCGCCTCCTGCCCTCGAGGGGGTGATGACTAGGGGGGATATCGTCCCAGACCCCCTCGAGTAATGAAACAATCATGACGGAAGGTTTTTCGTTATTTTCGGCCCTTAGGAGCCCTCGCCGGGCTTCGGGACCGTCAAAAAACAACTCGGGATGAAAATCGGGTCCCCGGGAATGGGTCTGGACCACCGGGGGCCGCGTCATGCAAAAATCATGACGTCGGGGGTCTGGGGCGGCGGGGGCAATGATATCTCCCCTGATTTCATGGCGCCTCTTCTCATTTCATGACGTCCCCTGGCCCCCCCCCCCCAGGGCCGCGCACATGCCGCCGGTCATGATTTGCGCCCCCCCCTCTTGGACGTCCCCCTCTTGGCCGCCCCCGATGCACCAAAACAATCAGGAAGGGGGAAAGCACACAGACACAATGCATCGTCGGTTCCCACGAAAACACTGGAAAATCTGGGAAGTGGGGGGGGGGGGGGGAAGACGGAAACCTAGAACACGTGAGAAACGATGGGGATTATTGGGATTTGTGTGTATTTACTTGTGTGTTCCTGGGCCCCTGCAAACAAGTAGGAACCCTGTGGGCAGAAGAGCCTGATTGCGGTTTCGATCGAAAATCTGCCAACCCTCTCGAGGACCCTCCCACTAGCCTCGAGAGAGAGCCTCCGTGGAACCTCTCAGGACCCACTCGGGACCATCTCCTGACCCTCTCAGGACCCTGTCAGGACTCAGGAGCCTCTCAAAGGCCTCTCAGGAGTCCCTCAAGAGCCTCTCGGGACCCTTTGAAGAGCCTCGCAGGACCCGAGGAGCCTCTTCCCAAGAGCTTCTCATGAGCCTCTCAAGGACCTCCCATTCGCCTCGCAAGAGCATCTCAGGGAGCCTTTCGGGATGCTCTCAGTGCCCTGTCAGGAGCTCACCTTCCCAACTGCCTCTCAGAACCCCCATCAAGAGCAGCTCATCCTGCTGGGGGGTTGCCTTGCTGCGATCATCTCTTATAAACAGCAGCTCGGCGCCCGCGGCGGGCTTCTCCGCACCGGCGGTCGAGTCCCGCAGCCCCAGGCGGCCCGGGCGCGTCCTCACTCGATTGCGGTGCTCGGGTGCAGCACGCACCCTCGCAGTGTCACTGAAGAGGTGTTCCATGCTTCGCCGCCCCGCCGGTGTACGTCGAGGGCTGCGGAGGGATCGGGAGGCCCACCGAGCCGCTGCGACAGCGCAGCGCGTGGGTTTGCGGGCCAGCCGTGGTCGATCGCCGCCGGGACGCGGTCGTGCGCGCCCGGGCTCGAGGCCGCGCGGCGGCGAGGGCAGCAGCGGCGGCGAGCAGCAAGCGGGCCCCGGCCTCGCGCCGTGTGGCCGCGCATGGGGGAAGAAGAAGACCGAGCACGCGGGTCCGCTGCATGTCAGGAGGGGAAACACACACAGAGACACACACACACAAACACACACACAGACACAAACACAACACACACACACACACAAACACACAACACACACACAAACACACACAAACACAAACACACAGACATACAAACACACAAACACACAACACACACACACACAACACACACACACAACACACACACACACACAACACACACAACACACACACACACAACACACAACACACACACACACACACACAAACACACAAACACACAAACACACACAGACACAATGAATCAACGACTCCCAGGGGAATGTGGGAAAATATGGGACGCGGGGAGGGGGACGGCAACCCAGGGCATGCCGGAAAACAGGGGGATTCATGGGTTCTGTGCGTGTATTCAGTTGTGTGTCCCTGGGCCCTTCCAGCGTGGCCCTTGATTTCGCGGCGCAGGGAAAGATGCCCCCAGCTGGCGGCGTCTGCGAATCCCACGACCTCCGTCCCGAAGGACCCAGCCTGCTGACTTTGGCATCTGCTCCAGCGGCTCGCATGGCGCGGGATCTGCGGAGGCGCCCCTGCAGCCTGCAGGACCGTCCTACCTTTGGGCCTCAGCCTGGCTCCTGCAGTGAAGTCTGCACCTCAGCGGGCAGCAAGGGGGCTGCTGCTTGGTCTGGTCAGTCAGGAGCCAGGCGAAGGCTGGCAAACCCGCGGCTGCTATAAAACGGAGCTCCGGGAAATTGTCGTTTTGTTCTTCCGGGAAGCAGCCCGTTGACCATTCAGCGCGCTGGGTTTGATGCGGAAAACCGTTCGAGCAGCCACGGATTTGCCAGCCCTCGCCCAGCTTCCGAGTCAGGCTCAAGGCGCTGCGACCCCAGCGTTCAGTCGGGAGTATCCCCCTACAGGGGGATTTGGAAGGAAAAATCAAAAAGCACCCAAAACATAGTCAAAAATAGCCAAAAAAGTGCTCCAACAAATCGTCCTCTGACTATTTTTCTTACTGCTTTGGAATATTCCTCCTGTACATGTTCCAGCTTGAGTAAGCAACACTTACTTCTCGAAAGGGGCTAGGTCGTTCCTTTGATTGCATGCGTTCCGCTAGTTACCTTTTTGGCGGCGAGTCCCCCTGGTGTTCCTTCGAACTTCGTAGGCTTACTTGGAAATAAAAGGGGCTTCCTTCCTTATTTCTCGTTCCTAGGTGAGGCCGACTACTGTAGAGGGACACGCCGACTTAACCCCAGCGGCACCTCGCCTGCGCGGCATGCCCAGGCATGGCCCCTCGGCCCTGCCGAAGCGGCCTCCTCCCGCCGCGAGCGCTCTGCCACGGGCCGCGACGGGGGGCCGCGGCGCGCTGGGGGCCCCGGCTGCGGCGGGAGCTGGCCGGCGCCACCAGGTGCTCTGCTTCCCTGGCGACGGGGTGGGCCCCGAGCTCTTGCATCGGCGGCGAGCGAGGGGGCAAGCAGCGGCGAAGCGTCCCAGCTTGCATGCAGGACCACGAAAGAAGGTTCTAAGAGCCTCCTGTGGGTCGCACGAAGTGTTCTTAGAACATTTCTGGCCGATCTTGTTCTGACACATCGGGTATGTGTTCTAAGAACCTGGCTTCTGTTTTTAGAACATGTTTAGGTTCTAAGAACATGTCGTGGTAGGCCTATAGGATTGCCGGGACGGTCGGTCCCTGCTCAAGGGGGGGAAGTGACAAGAGGGGGCCTTCTCAGAAGGCGGCGGGGCTGCTTAGAGGCCAGGAAGCTTTTCGGAAGGCCGGGGGGCTTCCGAGCCTTCTGAGAAGGTCTGCCCTTTCTCACTTCCCTCCCTTGCTCGCCGCCGACTGTAAGGGAACAGACAATGACATGAGCATAACATCTCGGAGGTCCGCGCGGATTTCTCGGATCGGCATTGGAGGCCCCCCCCTTGGGCGGCGCCTCCGGCGCCGCCCCTGGCGCGCGGAGCACGCCAGGGAGGGGGGTTCAGCGCCGATCCGAGAAATCCGCGCGGACCTCCGAGTTTGTATGCTTATGCAATTGTTTGTTCCCCTATCTTAGCCGCTGCCAAACATGTCCTGGCGGCGACCGGCGTGGAGTTCGATTACGAGGAAATGGCGTACCCGTCGGTCGTTGAAAGTAGGTGTTCCCGGGGATACCAGATCTCTATCCATTTCGAGCGCCTTCCTACTTAAAGAATCGATGTGACTCTGCTGTGTTTTGTCAATATCTGGGAGGACCTGAACTCAATCTATTTTCATCTACTTTGTCCGTCTTCCTACTTCGCGTTGTTTCTTATCTACTTATTCCGACCGACGTGTACGAGGAGATGGCGTACGGGCGTTGCCTCCAGGAGGCCTCCGGCTGCGCAGTGACCGAAGAGCATTTGCAGGCGATCGAGCGAATCGGTTGTGTGTTGAAGGGTCCCATCGAGGTGCCTTCTGGAGAACAGGCAGATGGCATCGTGGAGCTCCGAGGCCGAAGATTCACATCAGCGAACCAAGCTTTGCGCAAGCTGCTATCGCTCTACGCCAATGTACGACCTGCACGCAACCTGGGCGGAATTGGTGCCAAGTTCCCAGGCACTGACATCGTCGTAGTTCGGGAGAACACTGAAGGCATGTATGTCGGCGAAGAGGCTTGGGAGGGTGGCGAACCAGGACGTTCCGCGGTGGCCACCCGCCGGATCACGCGGGAGGGTTCGCTTCGAGTGGCCCGCTTTGCTTTCACGTTTGCTGAGCGGCATGGTCGCCGCCTCGTGACTGCCGCGCACAAGGCCAACGTGTTGCGTTTGTCCGATGGCCTTTTCCTGGAGTGTTGCCGCCAGGTCGCCAAGGAGTTCCCCGGGATCGAGTATTCCGAGCAGCTCTGCGACTCCCTCCTTACAGCGATGGTGCTCGAGCCACAGAAGTGGGACGTCATTGTTTGTGAAAACCTCTACGGCGATCTCGTTTCGGATCTTGCTGCTGGTTTGGTTGGAGGTCTGGGCTTGGCTCCCTCCGCCCTCTTTGGTAGCGGCAGTACGGCTATCTTCGAGCCCGCCCACGGGAGCGCCCCAGACATTGCTGGGAAAGATCTGAGGGGTTGCGCTCTTCCGCCAGCCCCCAAGCGGAGCCATCTTGGAATTACCTCGGGGATTTCGCAGGCCATCCAGGAGCTCCTGGGTCAAGGTACCGTGAATATCCGTAGTAAGGATGTGTTGTTTCATCACGGCTACCCTTGCATCCCTGCTTCTCCAGTCCATCCTCAGCCAACGTTGGCGTCTAAGGAGCTTTGAATGGTACATGGGACCTCAAGAGTCTTGCATGCTTATCTTGCACCCTTACTATGGACTCTGTATTCCGTGAGACCAACAAGTTGCCTACGCGAAGACGTGTGCTAGTATGAAAAGGATTGAGGACATCTTGGTGCCTCCAGGGCCACTTCTGAGGCGTTTCCCTAAACACCTTGTCTGCAAGGGCTGTCACTGATTATGCATATGTCTCGTAAGAAGGGCCCAGGGGATGTGCTGACGGCAGCAGAGTCGGTAGTTAGATGGTCTCCGTACGATCGATCCTTTGGTCTCCCGGATGGTCTCCGGGATGGTCTCTTGTATGATTGTTCACATGGTTTGGCGTATGGCTGGTCTCCCGCATGTTCTCCCGTATGGTATCCTTCTTGGCATCCCGTACGGTCTGCCGTATGGTATCACATATGTTCTCTCGTACGGCTTCCCGTATGTGCAGCACAGTGGCATGATCTCTTTGTTTGTTTGAGCACGGTACTCAGAGCCTTCTGCCGCCATGGCGTAATTCACAATATTCGGGGTCCTGCGGCCACCATGCTGTGGTTGCCCGAAGTAAAACAGGAGCCTTTTGCAAACATGCAGATTAAGGCCTTTGGGGTTACCTGACGGCAATGCTGAGACTTCCGACAATGCTGGGGCTTCTGAAAGCCATCTCTGGGATGATAGCGACCCTCTTGGGCGCGATTTGGGGCCTTCTTTTGGTGGCGTCTTGGGGCCAGGGAAGCCACCGTGGAGCCATCTTCGGTGATCTTGGAGCTACATAGCGGCATCCGTGCGCCGTCTTGGACCTGTATTAGAACGTCTTGGGAATACAACAGGCGACAACCAGGATAATACACCGTGGCGGCAAAAAAACATTGTTGACGTTTCGCGTATCCCCACCAGCCCTCTCGTTCGCACCTGGACGTTGGGAACGCCTCTCGCGCCATTTCGGCTGCGCTTGGGCTCCTCGGTGCCTACCCCAGGCCCGTTGGACGCACCGCTGCATGCCCGTTCAGGGGCTGTCTCTGGCTCCTGGATTGCATCGGCCCCGCCGCCCTGGACGCTGTCGTGAGCCGCCTGATCCGCGGCCCCGCGCGCGTTAGGTAATTCAGTCGCGTCCGCGGCCCGTTCGCGACCTCCCGCCGCTGGCGCTTCCGCCTGCGGCTGTATATATAAATCCTAATAATAATAATCATAATAATACTAATAATAGTAATAATAATAATATTATATATATGTATATATATATATATATATATAAAAAAAAAAAAAAAAAAAAAAAAAAAAAAAAAAAAAAAAAAAAAAAAAAAAAAAAAAAAAATCGCCAGGCGAGGTGCTTTGATCAGGGAAGTGTAGAAGAGTGCAACGTAACAACCGCCTTGGAAGCGTTTTCTCGGAGGTCTCTTGAAGCCATTTTGAGGCTCTCTTGGGGTCCTCTTGGAGCCTCTTGGGGCCCTCTTGGGACCTTCTTGGAGCCATCTTGGGGCTCGGTGGGGGGGGGAGAGGCCTCTTGGGGCCTTCTTGGCCCTCATGGCTCGCAAGCAGGGAGTAGGAAACTCAGGTCCCCCCCCCCCTGGGAGGCTCAAACATGGAGCCTTGAGGCCCTCTTGGGGCGCTCTTGGAACTGTTTGGGGGCGTAAAAAACAGTGATGTTCCTTGGGCTTGGGAGCCATTTTGGCCTCCTCGGGGGGGTCCTTAGAAAACAATGAGGACACTTAAAACCGTTTGGGGGTCGTTTTGGGGCCTCCTAGATGTGAGTCGGAGGCTATATTGAACCAGCTTGGAGTATCTGGGGCCATTTTGGACCTTGCGCTCTCAGACGCCCTCTTGGGGCCATATTGGGGCCATCTTGAACGCTCTGACCCCTCGCGGGGCGCCCCTTCGAGGCCCAGTGGAAGGGGTCCGGAGGGGGGTAAACCCTTGCCCGAACATGGGAAGGATAGAGCTTTGGCAAGACAACAAGTGCTGAACCACCTACGCCCAGAGGGCTGGTGGGGGTGCTATGGCAAACGAAAGGGATCCAGGGAACTTCTACAAGTACCGCAGAATAGTATAAGAGACACCATACCGAACATCATAAGAGAGGCCTCAAGGGATGCCATACTCGAGACCAATTGGAAGAGAATGATGAAGACCAGCACCAACGACGACGACGACGACGACGACGACGACGACGACGACGACGAGGACGACAACCGACTGACCGACGACGACGACGACGACGACGACGACGGCGGCCACGACGACGACGATGACGACGACGACGTCGTGGGGCCCTCTTGGTAGGATGTTGGGGCTCTCTTGGGTTGTCTTGGTGCTGGCTCGAGCCGTCTCGGGAACTTCCTGGGGCGCTCCCGAAGGCCCCATCGAGCCCCTCCTGGGCGACCCCGGGGGCGCCCCATATGGGAATCGCGAGGCAGCCTCGGTCGGCCAGGGAGCCGAGCGGCACCTCCCAGGGGTGCAAGCTCCTGTGGCAGCGGGCCTCCCGAGGCAGCAGTCGGCACACGCCAGCACTTGGCATCGCTCGGACGTGTGCGTTTTTTTTTTCGGCGAGGGCCATCGAGGAGCATCCTCGACCATCTGGCGAAAAAAACATTCACGAAACCGCAAAAAGCACAGGGAATGGACGTCCGAGCGATGGCGCCAGCATGGCTTGGAGATCCGCGGATCGGGCGCCTGGGCGCCGGGCCCACGGCTCGGGGAGAGTGCACTCCCCGATCCGGCGGCGGAGCGCGCCGACTCCTCGCGGCGAGGGGGCACTCGTCGCCGAGCCGCGCGCCGCGGGCGCGTGCGTGCGCGGCCTCGAAGTGGGAAGCGGGCAGGGCTGGAGAGGCAGGAAGTGATGGGCCTGTCTGCCACCACCACCACCATAACTTGGAGGGGGGAAGGAGGAGGAGGAGGAGGAGGAGGAGGAGGAGGAGGAGGATCCCTTCCCCCTCCTACTTATGGTGGTGGTGGTGGAAAACAGGCCCACCAGGAAGCAGGAGCCAGGACAAGACGGATAGAGAGAGAGAGAGAGAGACGACAGGAGGCACGCGAGCAAGACAGGAGTCCAGCAGGGAGCGTCGCAGGCTGGCACCCCCGAGGGAGCCTGCGGGTTTGGTGAACCCCTCCTCCATGCTGCTCTCGGCGGCGATGTTGCTCGGGCACGTTGGAGAAGAGGATGCGCAGCAGCGCCTGGTCGATGCCCTCGAGGCTGTGATCGCGGAGGGCCAGTTTGTGACCAGGGATCTCGGTGGCTCTTCCGGGACGCAGGCCATGGCGCAGGCGGCGGCCGCAAAGCTCATGCCTCCATCGGGCGGCTCCCATCCAGCAGCAGCGCGGCTCTAAGATCAGTGGTGGGTAGAGCATGAGATGCGGAGTCCAATCCATAAACGATCCAAAAAGCTGAGTGGGTAGGTTTTACGAGCGAGCCTTGAAGGTAGTGTGTCAAGATTAGTTGGCCTCCTTATGAAGGGCGCCGTCATCGTTTTCAGTGCCCACAGCCATCTTTCTCCTCATACCCCTGGTCCACAGCCATTTTGGATTGAGCCGTTCGGGATAGAGCCTGGCTCGGGCACCAGGACGAGCTCGCCATACCTCGGCTTGGCCACAGGGTGCTGTCTCTCTTCTGCGAGCCCTTCTACAGTCGCAAGATGATGGTCGAGCAGGGCACACGTGCCCACTGCCCACGGTTCGAGGTGCCTCGCTATTGCCGCGCTGAGATCAACTTCGTCCTCTTGGGATGAGCGCGCACGCACACACACACACACACACACACGCACACGCACACGCACACGCACACACGCACACACGCACACACGCACACACGCACACACACACACACACACACACACACACACACACACACACACACACACACACACACACACACACACACACACACAACACACACACACACCACACACACACACACACACACACACACGCACACGCACACGCACACGCACACATTCACACACCACACACACACACACACACACACACTTTTTGAGTCGGCGGCTGGGCAGAGTGACCGCGCTGGCGAGTGGAAACGCACACACACACACACACACAAGAGATCGAGAGAGTCGAGGATGCGAAGAGGATCGAGGGTCGAGGCGCATATCCTCCACTCCTCGTCATCCGCCTCCGCCTCCTCCTCCTCCGCCTCCGCCTCCGCCTCCCTCCTCCTCCTCCTCCTCCTCCGCCTCCGCCTCCCTCCTCCTCCTCCTCCTCCGCCTCCGCCTCCGCCTCCTCCTCCTCCGCCTCCCTCCTCCTCCTCCTCCTCCTCCTCCTCCTCCTCCTCCTCCTCCTCCTCCTCCTCCGCCTCTTGCTCCTCCCACCAAGCAGGGGCCTCAGGCCCCTGCGGCGCGCGGCATGGGCCATCGCTCTCTTGTCGCTTCTGTCGAATGATATGTCTGCAGTTGCACGAGGGGTGGCCTTGGGATCCCTGCCCCAAACCCCTGCCACAGCTGAGCATTACAGTCGGGGCCCTGAAGAAGGAACCCTTTTCGTTGGGAAGGGGCTCCGCGTTCCTTGAGTGTTTTGCAGCTTGCCTTGGATTTTCCTTAGGTTTTCGATACGAAATCGAAGTTCAACTTATGGAAAAAAGGGGCCTCGTTCCTTACTTAGGGTTCCTTAGGTCAACGCCCCTACTGTATGCAGCCGCTCTCTGTGTCCAGACTGCAGATCGACCCTCGGAGGGACTGCGTGAGCGTGATCCAGCATGTCCAGAGGCCTTTTTTTTCCGGCAGCTGCTTCCAGGGAGCGAGTGTGCTGGGGCCCGAGAATTTGCGGTTGAGTTTTCAGGGGTCAAGTTTTTGAGGCGTTGCATGTCAAATCCCATCGTAATGATGAAGAGCCGGCTCAGCTCACAGGAGAAGAGTGCCGTTTTGGCCAGGTTAACAGTATAGCTGACAACCATGCCAAGCTTGCCCCGTCTGGTCATCCAACAGCTGACCCAGGCTTCTTCGCAGCTGTCGGGCTAGCTCAGACGAGGGCCGCTGCACTTGTCCACGTTGCTTGTGCCACCCTGCCTCTCTGCAAGAATGAAGTGAGGTGGGCTCGTGGCGTCGCCCAGTTTATGATTCAGTCTAGAAGCACATTGAATTGGCATCGGTGGCAGCGTACAGAGTTCGGCACGCATTGCGTGCAGTGTTTGATTGTGTCAGAGTCAGAGCGGCGTCCACAGGACGGATGCCAAGGCACTCAACACTGCATTCAGCAGTTGGTCGAAGATCTTAAAGGCCATTCTCTCGTCGCCGTGTCGGGCCAGGTTCTTAAAAGGGTTTGTGGGGGCCGTGATGGGCCTGTCGGGTCCGAGAGAGAGAGAGAGCACGCGCGCAACATTTCCTCTGTCGCAAGTGCGGGGGGCTGTCGCAGGGGGGGGGGGGCAGTGTGAAGTTAGGCGAGTTCTGCCAGCAACCGACCGAGAAAGGAGCTGAGGTTTGAGGCGATTTCGTCGTGGTTTAAGGCGAACCCAAGGATGAGCGGGCTGATCGATAAAGCTCGCCCTGTCCTTCGGCTTGATGCGGCCAGCGCTCGCTCCACCTCTCATGCACCCACGGTCCCCCGAAGTTTTTGTAGTGACCAGGAAGCCGCCCAGCATGAGCAGAGGATGGCAGCGCTTATAGCCAGGACCAAGGCTAAAGAGGCTTCGACATCGATTTCGATGGCGTAGCCGCTTCAATGCCAAGCGTTTGGTGCGTTCGCTGTCCGACCTCTCCGAGGCGCTGTCTATCTATCCCTCCTCCTCCTCCTCTTCCCTCCTCCCTCCCTGCTCCCTCCTCCTCCTCCTCCTCCTCCTCATTCCTCCTCTTTCCTGTTCCTTTTCCTCCTCCTCCTTCTCCTCCTCTTCCTCCTCTTCCTCCTCCTCCTCGTCCTCCTCCTTCTCCTCTTCCTCCTGTTCCTCCTCCTTCTCCTCCTCCTCCTCCTCCTTCTCCTCCTTCCCGTCCCCCTCCCCCTCCCCCATCCCCCTCCTCACTTTTTCTCTGCCCGCGATGCGGCGCCACAGTCGCACCATAACATGACTGGAGAGCGAACAATAGAATTGCACACTTGCACATAGTAACGTGCACGGCCGGATCGACACACAAGATCGAGGTCGGTTCCTGGTGTGCAGGAGAGGTGCGGGGCTCTGCCGCGGTGGGGGGTGCAAGGGGGCGGTGATTCCAAGTGGAGCTTGGCATCGCTCGGACGTGTGCATTTTGCCTTCGGCGAGGACCATCGAGGAGCATCCTTGATCAGTTGGCGAAAAACACGCACGAAACCGAAAGAAAACACGGGGAATTGACGTCCGAGCGATGGCCAGGGAACCGAGGGGGGAGAAGGAAGAGAGAGAGAGAGGACTCACTAAGAATGAGGTTGTGCTCTCGACAGCAATGGCAGGTGGAGGGCGAGGAGGGCGAAGGAAGCACGCAGGCTGCCCGCGTTGTTTCTCTATCTCTTTGGAAAACTACGGGAAATCCCAAAGTAGGGGAGGGGGCCGATGCCAGAGCTTGAAGAGACAGGGCGTGACCAGAGGGGAGTTGGGAGAAAGAGAGGGAGAGAGAGAGAGAGAAACAAGAAAAAACGGAGAAACCTCAGAAGGGGAGGACGAGGGAAAGGAGGAGTCAGAGAAGGGAGCGCGGCTGGAAGGGAGGAAAGAGGAATCAGAGAGGGAGGACGGCTGGAAAGGAGGCTGCAGCATCGGGGATGACGTAGCACCCCATCACCCCCCCAACCCTGCCACCTTCCCTCTATGAGCTATGCCGCCCAGGCGAAAGGCAGCGCTGAACTCTGCGCGCGGCCGCGCTGTCCGCGGTCCTCCCCATCCAGCCCCCTCCTCCTCCTCCTCCTCCTCCTCCTCCTCCTCCTCCTCCTCCTCCTCCTCCTCCTCCTCCTCCTCCTCCTCCTCCTCCTCCTCCTCCTCCTCCTCCTCCTCCTCCTCCTCCTCCCCCCCCTCCTCCGCCCCCTCCTCCCTGCTCGAGGGGGCGCGCGAAGTTCCTGTTTTTTTTCTCGACTGAAGCCCCGAGAAATTTAAACTCCGCGTCGCCTGTTTATCCGCGTCGAAGAACGGGACCAACCACTCTGGCACTTTCCGATGGTCTTTCACCTTGAGCATGCCCTGGGAGACGTGCCTCAGCATAGTGCGAATCATCTGGGCCTTTGATTTGGGCCAGTTTTTTGTTGTCCGCCAATTTCTAAGATTCCTCTTGTCGGACGAACTGGACCACAATTTCTTGGAGCGGTTTCTGCACCAGCGGGCCTTGCGGGGCCTCCACGCTCGTCATCAACATGTTCGAAAAATAAGCTGTTTTGTCGCAGTTCGATGTCGGACGATTGCTGTGATCGTGATCTCCGCAACCGCGACCTCTTCGATCGTGGTCGCCGTCGTATTCCCCATCATTCCCTCTGATATGTTCTCGATTGGATCTCGCACGACTCGTTTCCGCATGTCGATACTTCCTCCTTGCTCTTCTGTTCTCGATGTCCGATGTGTTAATTGCTCTGTTTATTCGTCTGATTCTTATTACGGTTAGTATGATCATGGTTATTAGTATTGTGATTCCTGCTCTGACTATAGTTATTATTATTATTAGTATTATTATTATCATCAGTATCACTCTTCTTGTTTTTCTTAGTAGTATGACTGTGCTTCTGATAATCCTGTCTTCTCCTCCTGCTCCTCTTCTCCTCCTTCGGCTCCGTGCCTCCCTCCTTGTGTTTCCTCTTCTGAATATGTTTCTTATTCTTCTTTTCTTCAGTATTACTCTCATTGTTTTTCTTATTCTCCTCCTGCTCCTCTTCTCCTCCTTCGGCTCCGTGCCTCCCTCCTCCCCTCAACTTCCTCCTTGCCCTTCCCGACCGGCCCGGGGCAGAGCCCCGTCGCCGCGCGCTCGGCCCCGCGGCCACTCTCGCGCGCCGCGGGCCGCGGCGGGCCTCGGCGGGGGCCTCGGGGAGGAAACAGCAGCGGCGAGAGGGCGCGAGAGGCGAGCGAGGAGGAGGAGGAGGAGGAGGAGGAGGAGGAGGAGAAGAGAGGGCGCAGGAGGAAGGAGGAGGAGGAGGCGGAGGACGAGGAGGAGGAGGAGGAGGAGGAGGAGGAGGAGGAGGAGCGAGGAGGAGCGAGGAGGAGGAGGAGGAGGAGGAGGAGGAGGAGCGAGGAGGAGGAGGAGGCGAGCCAGGAGGAGGAGGAGGTCGAAGCTGGCACATCTCCCAGACCCCCTCGAGCAATGGCAAGAAATCTTGGCGGGAGCTTCTCGCCACTTTCAGCCTCCGGGGGGACCTCGCTGGGCCTCGGGGTCGTGTCAGAGCATCTACATAACTGGGAATAGCGTCCCTATCCTCATTGTGATATGCTCGTGGGACTA